TATTAAAATTAAATTATTTCTATTGAACCACGAAGAAGTTTGCTTTCATTTAAATTGTTTCAAGTTCAAGATGCTTATTTAAAGCATTCCTCAAGTTCAAGATGCTTATGTTAAAATTTGCGTTACTGAAAATTAATTTACACAAAATGCAAATTTACTTGATAATTAAATAATTGTTTTCAAAAATTTTTCCACAATTTATTTAAAAAGCATAATGCAGTAGAAAATTCAAAAATTAATTATATGTTTCGAATTTTTTCCCAATAGAAATTACAATTGTAAATAATTTTCATTGTAGTTTTATGAAATACAATTAAATTTCACGGAATCTATAATTGCACGACAGCGACACTAAAACATAAAAATATTAAAAAATTCAAACATAATATTAATAATATTCTATTAATAATGACTTTATAAAATTCTATACTTAATAATTACGAGTATTAAATATATACGCGGCTTCGAAAAATATTCAATTAAAGCGAGGTAATCTTAAAAGCTACATACAAAGTGTCTCTATGTTTTTGGTTTTGTAAATAGAAATTAAAAATCAAAATTTTTTTTTTTAAACGGGGTCGCATATTGCTATTTAATTTACCACAAAATAACAACCATTCAATTAAATATTATTTAATTTTCAATTATTTACAATAACAAGAAAAACATTGCATTGTGCAAATGTACATGCATTCATACTGTATAATTTAATGTATGTGTGTATGTCAATTTAATAGCGGTTAACGAATGGCGTATTTATTATTGTTTGGTTTTTTTCTTTATTTATTTTTTCTATCACGGAATTTAATTTTGAAAAAAAAATTTAATTTATTGATTTTCTACCACTTAAAAACAAAAACGTAACGTAACGTAAGTATGTACATCAAATTACGAAACATGTAGAATTTTTCGTCTTGTTTACAAGGCAAATCGGAATTAAGTTATTCGCCGCAATAAAGGTCAAGTTGAAGAAAATTGTTTTTTAATTTTCTTTTTCTTTTTTTTTTCAATAAATTTTGTATAGAGTCTATGTAAAAAAAAATTAAGTAATCATGATCGCAGATAAAAAATATTCTAATGATTATTATTGTACATACGAGCGCATGTATGTACACATGATTTCTACCGATCGTATTGCATACAATATGGGCAGTATCGTGATCGACCCACATGTTGAACATGCTAACGGAAAATCAATCGTTTATATTGGAAAATCCTTAATAAATTACTTGTTTTGCAGAATGTCGGTATAATTATCTTAGTTAACAAACTCTTTGAAATTTAATATTAAATAATATATCCTTAATAATTCGGCGAATAGAATAAGCTTTCCGGAAATCAGGTAGAAACAACTGAATGTTACGTATCGGTAGGTCGTTTTATAATTTATAATCATGTCTAAACAAATAATTAATACATGAGTTCTTTTTGGTAACTGAATTAAAAAATTATTATAATTACCCTAAAGTTTGCACTGTTGCTATTATTACGTATTATATGAGTATTTACTTGGAACAGGGATGGTTAAAGTGGAATATGGGGGGCCTACAATAAGTCATGCCTGGCTGCGGTGGTTTGAGGGAAGGAATTCCTATGTCTCACTTCAACAATCTACATCCAAATCTGCATTTATGGTTATGTGTTAATCATAATCGTTTTTGTGGTGACCACATCGATTTTTCTTTATTAATGTTCTTATAATTTAAGATTGTACAATGAAATTCATATTTTATGCATAAAATTAAATAACATTAAAACAATGAAAATAATTAAAAAAAAAATTTTTAAATTAATTTCTTACCTCATTCAGAAGTCAAAATTAATAATTGAATTTGATAGATTACTTAAAATTGTATTTTAATATTTAAAAATGGTATTTAAATATTATGCGAAAGAAGAAGATTAAATTTTTAAGAGAACTTGTAATCGATATCCGGCAATAGCCGGATATCCGCCAATAAAGATTTTATGTTTAAATAGCAAAAATATTATTAGTTTTCTTAGAGGGTATGTATATGTAGACGGTTTAATGCACATATGTTTTGAATCATTAATCTCTAATTGAGTGCATAACAATATATTATGATAATTAAGTTCTATATGCTACGTATCAAATTTTGAATCTATTTATGGTATAATTTTTTTAGGGCCAAATCATTATAGCATGAAGGGAAGTAGGTTTTCGCGACGAACATGGATTTTAGCCCCAATAAGTGGTAGCGAAGAATACAGTATTAGTACTACTTCCTAAGTAATCGCTTTCACCTATAACATACCATGATTATTGAAGATAGAATTCTTATGAAAATTTAATTAAATTGAAGAAAAAATAATTAAAAACATTCCAATTTTTATTTGTATTGGTAAATATGTTAAAAATCTAGGAAAAGTTTAGGGAAAAAATTAAGAATGCTAGTGCGTATTCATAATTGTATGACTTGTTCCGATTAACTGCCCAGTTGGTTGACGTCACAGATGCATCAGATCCACGGCACCGCAATTAGCTTAATACTTTAAACAGTTTAATTTCAGTGGACATTTATAATTAGAATTTTTTTTTGATTTAATTTTGAAAAATAGAACACTTCTAAATCTTGGTCAAATCGAAAAATGTGAAATAATTTTTATATTTAAACTCATATTAGTTTATTAGATTTAAATTTAACAAATATTTTAACACTTCAATGGATTTTATTCTTATGAACTCAAAGTTACGCTTCAAATTTTCGGTATATTGAAAAAATTCTATCTAAAGTGATTTTTCAGCAGTTGACTATTTTAAATCATTACGAAATATAATTGGGTGCAACAAATCATTCTCATTTAAAAACAACATTTTCTAATATTAAAATTTTCCATAAGGCATTTTGGAAATTCAATAACAAACTTAATAAAGATTTTCGAAAGAATAGAATTTTAAATACTTTTAAAATATTTAAATGTGTGCTAATAAGAGCTAAGTATTAAACTCTAATGTCAAAGAACAACTATACAAATACAACGTATATAGTTTTACAATTTAAATACCCAAGATTCAAGACATTGGAAGAGGACATTTAATACGATTTACTTGATTTTTTTTAAGTAACTTTAATGCAATTTAATGATCACAGATTATATTTTAAATTATCGGATTTTTATTATTTTACCTATTTGGATTAAAGATATAATGTTACATACTTTGTAAACCAATAAATAAAATAAAATGTGATACTCCAATTACATTGAATAACTTAATAATTTTGTATTAAAAATAAAGTAATTTAGTTATTAACAAAATGCTCTTATGTAACGAGTTTTATGATTTTTTTATATTTTACATATTAAAAGAAAAATTATAATAATTCTTCTTTATAAGCATACAATCACTTAATTTGACATACTTAACCTATAGCTTTTGGCTTTGAATTTAAAATTATTAAATAAAAATTGGGGTTGTTTCGCTAATTCGCTAAAAATTTCGCTAATTAAAGAGAATGTTAAAAATTTAAAATATTAACAACTTATGGTAAGTCTTTTAATTTTAACAGAAATAATAATATTGTTCAATGACTAAGCTGTCAGAAGCCTATTATTCCAATAAGCTGTCAGAATATGCTTAAGTTGTCCGGTAAAAACGAGATTCTCTTTATATATTATATGCAAATACCCAGCTCTAAACAAATCCAGAATGCGCACAAGGGTGGGGCGCGTTTAACTTGACTTATTAAGGTATCGCAAATATTAAGTATTTAGATGTAGACATATAAATTGCGTGAATTGTACAAAGTAAGCTAGAAACATATGCAGTCAGTGCATAGTATAAGTGAAATCAATCACCCCTTTGGGGCCACAATCGGTTAAATTTGACAAATCATATCTGAATTCTAACTTTTCATTTTGCAAAAACGCTATTTAATCTCTTAAAACCTACAGAAATTTTCATTTAAACAGTGGAAAATATTATCTTTAGTCTAAAATTTAAAAAAAATTATATTGAAGCGGCTGCCAAATAATTTGCTAAAATTTTTTTAAATCTTTTTATTCATATGTCTGCCGCCACTATAAACACAAATAAATCTATTATTAAAATTACAAATTGAAATAATGAATTTATGTGAGAAAAATTATTATTAATGTTTTTTTATATCCGAATGATAATTGAAGCCGGAAGGGAAATATGAAACCAAAAAAGAAGAAATATTTTCCTCATATTTAATGGGTTTTCTATTATAAAAACTCTTGTTACATAACAAATATATAATTATACTCTGATCTTCTGACTTTTTATCGACACTCAATTTTTGCAAATAATTTAAAACAGAAAAATTTATAAGTTTCCCATCATTGGCAACACATTTTTGAAATTAATTTAAGTAATAGTTACTATATTTGAACTTTTAGTAATCTAATGCAAGTAATATACAAAAATAATTATTGGCTATTTAAATTGCATAATTCAAATTTTTATTAAAATTTTATTTTAATTGCTCATGAAACAAGGTATTATTGCAGCCATAATTAAATTGTTTGAATATGTTTGGATCTCATCCAAATAATAAGTCAATAATTTTGTGTAAAAGCACAAAGTTTGTATAACACTGAAAAAAATTCTGCTCACCAGGCGCTATAAATGATGTTATACATACATTATTGATTGGAAGAAACATAGATAATTCTAATTTTATAACAGATAAAATAATTGCAATTTCCATCAATGAATTTGGAATGCCAAAGGTTATGTAAAATGTAAAAAAAAGTACAAATGTCAAAATTAATATCAAAGACAATTAAGTAAACTTTTTCGTACAGAAAAATTTATTAAGAGATTTATTTCAGCACTTCATTTAAATGATTGCTTTGAGCTATTTTGAATAGTTCTATGGCATTTTGGGCAAATGAGCACACGCAATATTGTTTGAACTACAAAAAATTCGATTTATATTGGGACACTCTTTGATTAATTATATAAATTTAATATTTTGAATAAATTAAAGCAATAAAAATAAAATTTCTCTTACCATTCTTTTTAAGATTATATTAGCCATCCTATTGCTTGATGATAATAAATTTTCGTTTTAAAATCCAATTATGGTAGACTTTCGTGTATTCCAATAAAAAAAAATTTCAATTAGTAAATTTTTCTCTCTTGTGTAGACAAATTTAGTTAGAACTCAAAATGTTTTTTTAATTATAACAAATTTGTACTCGTATTAAGAATATCGAATAATTTAATTTAATTTTAAAGTAATTTGACCCGAAATTAATTAACAAAACGCTTACAATTCATATACGAATATAGGGGTGTACAAAAGCATATTACACATGTAAATTTACAAAACTGTTATATTTTATTTGATATTTTCAATTTTGTATAGATTTGTATTATTTTAAAATGTCATTTTTTTTTTCTATTTTTTGAAATTTAAAACCATCACTTTCAAATTTTTTTTATTTTTTTATTATAAATTACAAATCTCTTGAAATATCAATATGTAAATATGTATATTTTTTTTGTAAGTAGCCTAGAAAACATGTAAATGTGGCCGACTTTTTTTTTATATTTTAATTTACTTTACACACCTTTTGTTTTGTATTAAATTGTAAAATTTCAATAACTTTTTCAATATTTCGAGTTTTTATTACAAAATAGAAAAGTTACGATTATCGATTTTCAATTATGTATCGATTTCATTCACAATATTGCGTTTTGTTAATAATAATAATTTTGTTTGTATGCTTGATGAGTAAGTTATAAAAATTTAATTTTGTTATGATTTTAATATTTTCTATTTATTTATTTTTTTATTTATTTTAGTCCAAAGTGTATTCACCTCTCAATGACACCTGTAATTCTATAAAAATATTCGTATGTTTATGTATGTGTATATATATGTGTATATATTATTAAGTATACACACATATGTACATAATTATTTAAAATATTTCACTTTAATAATTTTCATAAAATTATGCTTTGCGCGATTCTACTCATTTTTTGATTTTCTTTCTAGATTCAAAGAAGATTCAGGTGAGATGAAGACATATTTTATTCGATTATTAAAATTAAAATCTTAGAGTTGGAAATGGTTGAAATTTTTAGAGAGACTGCGGAGGTTAGCATACATATAGACGAGTATACTTAATTACAGTAATTAAAAATCAAATGATTTTTTCTCTTTATTACAAAATTATGTAAATTAAATGAATTTAAGAAGAAAAAAAGATAAAAACAATTAGACTAACTAATTTAATAATTAAATAATTTTTTTTTATTATGAAATATTTTAATTTCTTAATGAATTTTAATTTTAATTTTATTATTACTTTTATTTTAGCCAATAAAAAAAAAAGCAGCCAATTCAAGTAAATAAAACCGGTCATGGTCAAATTATATAAAACTGGAAAATAAGAAAAGTCACAATAGCTAGTTGCATGAAATTAAAGAAGAAGAAGAAGACGAAGTACACAAGAAAGAAGATGTTACAGATGATGGTTGAAAAAAAAAACAAGAAAAATAAATAAGAAAAAACATAAAGGAAAAAAATTTAAAGAAAACTGGAAAAATTTTTTAATAATTTCCTGCCTGACTGAGCTTTTATATTTTTTTGTAATCTACAGAAAAATAAGAACTAAAAAGAAAAATTTTAAAAATAAATAAAATTTTCTCAGTGTATGTGAGAATGGCATATATTAAGAGTTACCGCTTATTCAAATAAAATGGGATAGAAAAGGATTGCAATTATCTACTGGAATTCTAGAAATTAGTTTGCCTGCCAATTCGCATTTTTACGCTAACACAATTATTTACAAGTTTGAATAAGCTTAGGCATTGCCAGCGTTTCGGATTCTTTCCCTATACTAATTTTTTTAATAGTTTGGTCTTAAAGTTAACATCTCAGTTATAAAATTCATTCTTTCGGAATTTCGTACTCGCCTTTCATTGTTTCTTCATTTTTGGAAAGCCTATAAATTTGTTACGAGTATACCTCAACATTGAAAGTTTTTTTTCAAACAAAAGTATCTGTTTTCTCTAAATGGACTTTAACATAAACCTTTTCTTTCTCTTGTGCAAAGTTCGCAGTTATGAGAAAAGTTGTAATAGTTTTTAGTTAAAAAATTTGTTTTTGAAATTAATTACCAGAATTGCTTTAAAATCAAAAAGCTTCTCATTGAAATTATTCAAGTATTGTCAGTAATACGTCAATGACATTTTGTAATTAAATTGTAATTAAATTTTGGGACTAATTAATTAATTATCAATTAATTTATCTTGCAATATTTACATAAGTGCTGCCAATTTGTATAATTATTTATAATAACGTAATTATTGCAACAATGTCATTTATGAATTTAATTTGTGCAAAGTTCATAACCTATGAATATATTATTTAATTATTAAAATGGAAATGTCAAACAAAATTTTGTAATAACAGGTTAATTAAAACTATGTTACAAGATAAAACTTCATAATGCTAAAAAATTATACAAAGTAAATTGAATTTTGTACCTAAATTTTATATAGTTAAAATAACATTAACTTTAATGTAAGAATTAATGAACAATTTCCATTACCTTTCTAGCAAATTACTCTATTTTTTGTTTGTTGCCCATAAAACATCTAATTAATTAAAAATTATTTAGAAAATTACCTTTCCGGTTGTGTATAAAAAAATTGTGCTAATAAATCCATAGATTTTATTATGAATTTAATTTAAAACTTAAATTTGCCAAAAAAGTGAAATTAGTGCAAGAGCTGTGATTTTACAGTAACTTGTTTTATCTATAATTTTTTCGTACCAAATGGCATTACTACCAAATTTAAGTGCAATATTCTAGTTTATTTGCAGATACAACACTTTTAATTTAGAAAAAAAAAATTCATTTGCACCAAAAATTTAAGATTAAGTTTATTTTTCTTAATTGAATTTTGAATTGGTAAGAAATTCTTACCGTATACGATAAAGTTCTCTTTAAAGAAAAATGACATAAAAGAGCAAATATACAATTACCATTCGTATATTTACAATTAGTAACCTAAACTTTCAAGCAAAAGTTGAATGGTATAGTAGGTTAAATATTTGGTTATGATTCTAACATATCTTATTACAAATTTTAAAAAAAATGGTTTTTACGAACGTAAAGTAATTTCTGCTCGTGTAAGTTTTTTTCCCACGAAATTAAATGAATTTTTTGTTTTTGAAAAGAAAATATGAAAATAAATGATATTGGGCAACAATCTAAGAAAATTTAAACGTTTAACTCCGTCTTACATACGCAACATGTATACCATAAGTTTATGGTATGCACATGAAGATTTTATAATAAAAATCACCACATCAAATTGTTTATATTTCTATAATTAAATTGAATTGCTGCCTTATTGTTATAAAGATTATAAAAGATGGGATGCCATTTTGAAAATAAAATGTATCAAGTTAAGAATGCTGAAAATGAGTGAAAGGGTATTGTGTGCATAAAAATTTTCGAAACTTAAAAGTTGAAAAACTGACCTAAAAAAAATCTTGCGAATGATTTGTTCTTATATAAAAATTAACTAAACAAAATTTTCGTGCAGGATGTTTTTTATAATGGTGAACCTGTATATTGTTTTAGTAAGGAAAAGAAATGTTCTATAGTAAACCCCTATTGCAACCTGTTTGAGAGGTAGAAGCATTGAGAGGCTAAAATATTTTTTTTAGTTGACGTTATTGAAAAATAGTTACAAATTGGTACAAGTGGTACAATAAACCATTAAACGAGCATGCAAGCTTATAGAACTTTTAGAAGTTGTGATTACACAAATAGAATCCACAGATACATGGACTCAAATTTGGTATATCGAGATTTCGATGGAAATGCACATCTCCGTAACTGAAATGTAAGAAACATCGAAACTTAATTATTCAAGGAGTATGCGGAAAATTTGCCATATTTTCCATTAAATTTGCTTATATTCCGATAAAAGTATATTTAATTAGGATCATTTTAAGGTCCGGATGGTCGAAAAATTTGATCAAACCACTTCAAAGAAAATAATACAAAAAATCTTGTTTAATTCGAAAAAATTATCACAAGAACAAGTAAGAAATAAAGCAGTTAAATAAAAAATTTCAGCAAATATTCTCAAAATTCTCATCACAATAAATTTTCAAATTCGATTAACTAGAAGCTACTATTTTTGAGTTAATAAGTTTTGCATAATTATGAAAAGCATAGTAAGTGTTATAATAGAGTAATAATAATTTATTCCCAAATTTTTCTTGGTATATCTTAATTTTATTCATAATTATAATCGGCATAATTTAAATTAATTATGAGGTTCAATTTAGCTTTAAATTCAAGCAAGACCTTAAAATATAACAGCTATTAATAACAAAAGTATAACGATAAAAAAGAATTTTATTAAGTTCTGCAAGATTTTTATATGGAGAAGAATTTGTTTAATTTTAATATCAAAAGCTATACAAATCTATATTAAAAGCCAATTGATTACAATCTACGTATGCATACACACATGTTTTATTTACATGCCTGGAAATATTATATTTTCCGTTTTCTAATATACGAGTACATATTTGAACCAAAAATCATTTAATAATTTTATTTAACAATTTTGATTTTGCATTAAAAGCGTTCACGGGTACAAAAAGCAATAGTTTATATTTGGTTCTTAAATTGTAAAATTTAATTGAACTTTACACCTTTAGGAAATGGAATATGAGACCCACTTATAAATTAAGTGGTTTTTAGGTAAATTAATAAAATTTTTTTTAGAATGAGAATTAAAAGTTGTAAGCTATACTTGGTTTATTTATCATACCACGTATCAAGTGTATAAAATGATTTTTTCAAAATTATTTCAGAATGAAGAATAATAAAGAATGAGACGTTGAAAGTAACTTTATGGCAAACACTGTTGTCAGTTTAATCAGTTTGATTCTTTTTTTGGAATTGTGTAGAAATAATGAAAGAAATAAATATTCAGTCCCGCTTTAAGCTTAATGATCTTTGAACTAATTGAAATATTTCAGTAAATAACAAAAAATGGTCCATTTCAATGAGGTCCGTTCATTGGGTTAATTAAATTTAAAAATCTGATAAATTTTGTGTTGAAACACAACGAGTACTAAAAACTTGTTATGTAGAACGTGTGTCACGAGCACACTGAAATACTTAATAATTTTTTGAACCATGTCTCAATCATGCCTTACTCTTTCTTGGAATATGTCGTTGTTATACTACACTGCTCTGGAAGTATTACTAATTTTTAGAATTTTAAATGTTTGAGTTTGATAATTGTTTTTCAAAACTTTCATATTAATAACATAAGTTTTGCATTTTAATCTTTTAATAATCCAAATAAAGAAGGGAATTGTTTTAACAAGAATGCTTTACGAGGTGTTTGAAGTTATTTTCATTGTACTTATTCAATAGTACAATTAATATTTAATTTATTTTTGGGAAATATTTAGTAGAAGTGGACATACAGGAACACTTGACTTTAAAGTGGAATTATTATTAATTTTATTTGAATTAGGTACTTACTTAATAAATAAATTATTGAAATAAATTAAAATAAATTTAGTATAACAAATTTAATCGCTGATAGTATTAATAAAATTAAATTATGATTGAAAAATTATGAAGTAATCGGCTTTTAGCATTAAAATATTAATTCTATATATATACGAAATAATATTTTATTATCGTAAATCTTGTACTCGTATATAATTATAGAAGCATCCATTTACCTAACATGACTTTTAATAACCTGAATTAATTAAGGAAACTTTTTGTTTTTATTCAGACTAATGTGTTTGACCAATGTTTTTTGAATATAATTTTACATACG